TTGTGTTTTTAGCATGTGTTGTTATCGTTGCTTGGGACTCAATTCCCACACGTGCACATGTGACGACTTTCCTATCTTTGTGTTTTAGCATGTGTTGTTATCGTTGCTAGGGACTCAATTTCCCACACGTGCACAGGTGACGACTTTCCCAGGGTTCTCCCCAGGGCTTTTTAGCGCCGAGGTCCGCGGCGCTATACCTGTGAATCTCGGCGCTTCACTTGGGACCTCGGCGCTATGTGTTCCCACCTCGGCGCTTGATTTCATATTTGACATGCCAATATCAGATGTGAAAAAGCTTTGTTCGCCACGCCGGTCGGCCCCGACCGTCACTCAAAATTAGTGACCACCACGGAAATGCTTCCGACGAGGATTATTAATTACGTACCGACCGACACGCATCCTGCCAGTCGTGGATTATAATTTATAAACAATAGACCTAGTCGCACGATACGTAGCGGCTAGTCAAATTTGTGGAATTAGCACCTCTTTCTTTGTAAGTAAATACTTTCTGCGATAGACCATAGACCCTCTAGAGGGTCTATGGATAGACACAGTCTTTAGATTTAAAGCTAAAATTATTTCAAAATCAATTCCACCTCGATATAACATGGTCAAATCGGAGTTCACGATCAGTTCACGCTACTCAAGAAAAAAACAACGTGTTTATTGCGTGATTTGGTAAAATACATTTGAACTGTTATCATTGCGAATCATGTAAAAACTCTTCTTTCAAGACCTAATTTACCTTTTAAAAATTGCAAATCACCTCTTTCGAAAGCTGTCATGCAGTTTTCAATTGAAATCGATGCCAACACATCGTGCTACGACATCGCTTTACTTCCGCAATGTAATTTTTATGATCACTACCATTCGGAAAACTTCGGGTTCTACCGGCATTACCATGCGTCATTTTGATTGGTTAATGGAATTTTTGACCCATCGGGTCAAAGGACACATGCTAATGTTTCACAAACATCATGGCGGGTCTGTTTTTTTTTTACCGAAGCGATCAAGTGATCAAAAATAATCGCTCCCGATAAAAATAAGTCTAATTTTACTTACATTTCATATCAAAAAAAAAAGAAGTAAAATTTGTTGAGGAATTATTGCTATAACTGGTGTATAACATGGCCCAAGTAAGTTATGTCACGTCGTAACTTTGATGATCGTTTTGAAGCTTTATTTGTTCGCTCATTACTGTAATTGTAAACGTTTTAGAAGTTGATGGTACGAATAATAAATTACAACAATACGTCAATTAATTACGTGATCGATTTTTTGAAGGAGAATGTTTTTGGAGTGAATAAAATTATGAGATTCGTGAACATAAATCTGGCTTAACGTTTTGAATGCGTTTCCTTCAACGTTTTACAAAACAATTAAATTGCAACAATAATGTATTTGTGTTTGTTTTTAGTCTGCAGCATTTGTATTTCGAGAATGTTTCAAACTCTTCTAAATTGTGAAACATAATGTGTTGATTCCATTAAAAAAAATATTTGCCCTGTGACTGAGCTCACTAATATTCATAATTGTAAACAAGTTCTGTTAATCAATGAAGGAAAGATATGTAAATGATATGCAAATTATTATGCAAATTAGCCCCGGCGCTATGCATTTTTTCTGGGGAGACCCTGCACAGTTGCAACTTTGGGGAAATCTAGGTTAAGATTTGCATGTGTGAGTGTACAACCAGACCTGGTTGATTCAAGGATAGCACATTAATTGCACTAATATCAATATGATAGCAAAATGCACTGGTTGAATTTCATTTACTCACAGTTGCAACTTTGGGGAAATCTAGATTAAGATTTGCATGTGTGAGTGTACAACCAGACCTGGTTGATTCAAGGATAGCACATTAATTGCACTAATATCAATATGATAGCAAAATGCACT